CTCTTTTATTTTTATATTTAGTTTTTTGTTTATATTAGATATTATTGTTGAAAGAAGAGGGAAAGCACATACCACTACTTTAGAAAAAAAGTTTCAAAACATAGAATGGCGCTCTACGATTTTACATGAGACGTGCTTCGAGGAGAACCCACATTTAAACCATATTTATGTTGTTGTCTATTTCGTGTTTTCTCTTTTATTTTATCATTTTTCGTTTGCTTGGTTGTTGATGCTTCTCATTTCTTATTATTCATTTATTAAAAGTATTATAAAATCTGAATGTAGAATCCAAAAAAAGAACAAAAATAGAAAAAAAAAATTAAATTTTAGGGTAAGAAACGATAAAAACAGGGGTCAAAAGGATTAAGATGAAAAAATAAATAAATTTTAAGAAAAAGGGAACACAAGCACAAAAACAAAATGAAGTTTCAAGGCAAAAATAAAAAAAAAGTGTACAAATAACCAAAATGAGGAAATAAATAAATTTTAGGGCAAAAAGAACAAAAATGAAAAAAATGAAGCAAAAAAAAAAGATCAGAAAAGGTAAAATGAAGAAATAAAAAAGTGTTTTAAAGCAAAAGAAATCAAAATGAAAATAACATAAAATAAAATAAAATTGCAATACATAAATAGAAAATGGTAAAAAAAAAAGACTACAATGAAAAAATAAATAACTTTTAGGGCAAAAGGAATCAAAGTGGAAAAAAATAAAATTTTAGAGAAAAATGTATAAAAATAATGAAAAATTACTAAAATGGATAAATAAATAAGTTTTAGGGAAAAAAGAACCACAATAGGAAAAAAAGAAGTTTCAAGAGAAAAGTAAAAAAAAAAGGTGAAGAAAAAACAAAATTCCAAGACACAAATTTTTAAAAAACTAAGAAATAAATAGGTTTTAGAGCAAAAGGAACCAAAAAAAAAAGTCCTAGTGTAAAAATAAAAAAAGGGTAAAAAAAATTAAAATGAATAAATAAATAAGTTTTAGTGTAAAAAGTCAAGGTAAAATAAAATTCGAGGCAAAATTTTTAAAAAGGGTAAAAAAAGGACTAAAATGAAGGAATAAAAATGTTTTTGGGGAAAGGTAAAGCGAATCAAAATAAAAAAGGTTTTATGGTAAAAGTAAAAAAAAGGTGAAAAAGGACTAAAATAAAGAAATAAATAATTTTTAGAAAAAAATAAAGAAGAAAGAAATAGAATATGAGGATGAGATAAAGAAAAGGGTAAAAAAAGACAAAAATGAAAACTAAATAAGTTTTAGAGTAAAAGGTGCCTAAATGGAAAAAATAAAGTCTTATGGTAAAAACAAAAAAAAAGGTAAAAGAAGACCAAAATAAATAAATAAATAAATTTTAGGGTAAAAATGAACAAAAAGTAAAACAAAATTAATGGATAAAAGCTTAGAAAATTGGTAAAAAAAATTAATTTTTAGGTTAAAAAATAGAAAAAATAAAAACAATGACTTGAAAAGGAAAAAGGAGGTGCATTTTGACCAAAAGGGTGAAATGTGCCCAACATTAAATCGTTTTCAGCTGTTGAATTAATCTTATCAACAGACTTAATACACAAATCAGTTCAAAATAAAGAAATGAATATAATAAATAACAATAATAAAAAATAAAATTAGAAATGATTTTGGTCGTCGAATTAAACTTATCAACAGTCTTGATGCATACGTGAATAATAGTACGCGTAGACCAAGAAAAATAGAGCAACAAGCATGCACCAGGTGGATCTCGCCACGATTTTAAATCAGTCAATTAGAATTTGACACGTAGCGCTCTTGTCGGCCACTTTCCATCAACTTTTGATTCCATGCATTGTGATCCACATTAACTCGTGTTTTCCACAAATAATATATTCTTACACGTGGCAAATTAAAAGGATGAACCATTAACGCAATGACACGTGTATTTTATTGAAGAAAACACCAAATTAAAGGTTGACACATGGCATATAAAAGAAGACAAAATAATTTTACTAAAACTTTGAATAGTTTTTTTGTATCTAGGTGAATAGTCTTATATGTCTAGATAAATAGTAAGTGCATTAGCCTTTAATGTTAAAACTCATTAAAACCTTCTCCACCAAAAAGAAGTATACTTCTCCGCTTCAATAATTTTCAAAAGCTTCTTTTTAAGGTTGAATCAAACTTTCTATTTCCTTTTTGTCTTGAGTTTGTCATACCCCGTCAATGCAAATTTTCTAATGAACATATTTATTCTTAAAACTTAATTTACTTATACATGAAAACCATCAGCACAACATAAGACAACAAGAACAAAAATATAAAATGACTATTTTAAAACTCAAAAAACAACAAGGGACCTTCTCCAGTATGGCAACATACCGGTAGACTAAGTATTTTATCTGTCGCATATGCATAAAATCATGTAAAAATAAAAAATTAAGTAAATCTAACAGTTAAAAAAATATGACCTACTAGTATGTCAGACGTACCAAAGAATTTTCCAAACAGTAATCAACACGTAGATTAAAAAAATGAGTAAAAAAGGTATAACCTAGAAACTGTAAAAAATATTGAGAAAAGAGCAGTAGTACAATTTTTAAAAGTAAAAAAAGATCTTAGAGAGAATAAATTGTTGTTTTGGAAATGGAGAAATATTAATGCAAATATGAGAAAAAGAAAAAGAAATATAATTTTCTAAATAAAAAAGAAAAAGGGCAAAAAGATTGACATTAGTATATTTTTTTTTCTTTTTTACACAAAAGAAAAGGTTACACTTTAATTGTTGGGAATGGTGTTTTAGAAGCATGAGATGTAATAGGATATTTATTATTTATTTAATAAAAGAGTTTATTCATTATGCTTTGTACATATATTAATGAATATTTTATGAATATTAGTGAAAATTTCATGATTATTTATGTGACTTTAAATATTGTATATAAGTGTTATATGCTAGATGATAATATTTAAGGATAATAATCAAAACGATATTAGTAATGAATTTAATTAAAGTTTAGAATCTAATTAAAACATTACTAATACAGGTTATTCCCATTTAGAATGGAACACTGTTATTTGCACTGTTAATATGATGAGATATTAAATAAGTGTATTACGCATAATGAGATAATGTTGAATATGGACATAAACACAATATGAATTTCTAATAATTTTCGTTAAGTATAGAAATTCTAATTGAGTCTACCGATGGTCATATATAGAATGATCTTAATCCTGAGTTCCTAGTAGACTTTTATTTATGGATTTGTGTCTTTTGATTTAGCCGGTACGGATTTCTAGATGTTGAATCCTATTCCTTGTATTTTAGAGACATGATGAAGTGAGTAGCTGAGAATGTTATTATACGAGATGGAATCCATTCCTTCTTGAGAGAGAAGTAGATAAATAATTCTCTTGAGGGTTGAATCGATACTTGGACTAATAGGAGCTTCGATTTATGAATTTGTGTTATGAATCACTGTCCATTAGAGAAACAATGATACTCAAGGATAAAGATGTAATTAGAGAGGTTAACAAATTTCACCTAACTCTAATTATGAATTATTTATGGAGGATTAATCTATATGTAATGACTATATCAAATGTACACTTCACAGTTTAGAAGAAATTAATGTCCATAATTACGAGAGTGCAACTCCAAGTTTATAGTAGAGTGACTATTGGAATTAAAAGAATTAATTAATTAATTAAAGAGTTTAATTAATTATTAATTAGTGCTCAGAATTATAAGTGCATCAGTCACCGCGTCGTCTTTGTAATTCTATAAGACACTAAGGGCAAATTGAGAATTTTAGAATTATGAAATTTTAAAATAAATCGCCCAAGGATAATTAATTGAGAATGAATTATTAATTAAATAATGTGATTATTTAAGTTTAAGTTTAAATTTAATTTTGAAATAAACATATGAAGGTGTTCACATAGTGTGAATTCCTCTGAGATTCAGTTGCTTGCTCTCCAAGTTATCCATTTGACTTATTTGATAATTTGTCTAATTTGAAATTCAAATTGATTTAAGTTTGACTTAAATTAGAATTTGAATTTGAGTCAAAATTGACATGTGGATAAGAGAGAGATTTTGTTTCAAAGCCAAATTTGAAGTTGGAGACAATTATCAAGCCTTATCTTTGAGATAAAGATTAAACTTTTTCTGAAAGTCTGACTACTGTACTCTATAAATAGGAGATTGTAGAAAATTTGAGAACACAATTTATGCTCTCCCTAGCATAGTGTGGCCGGTTCTCTATAGAGTGTGGGAAGAAAAATTTTCTCCAAAAATTTCACGTCGTACATATGTTGGTGCTCGTGGAAACCTTGAGTGTTTATTTGCTAATCCCGTTTTATTTCAGGTGTGCCTACACACATGTCTTCGTAGATTCAAGGAATTGACGAGAAAGATTATGGTGTTCTAAACTAGCTTGGAGCGAGGAACGTTCGAGGTCAAAAAATTTAAGTTAACGTCTTAATCGTCCGCTAGATAAAAAAATTAATTTAATTAATTTATTCGTACATAAATTAATGTAATCTATAAAATATCTTAAAATTTTATTAAAATTTTATTATACGCGATACACTAAATACACGTTTCCGTATCCGAAATCATTTTGGAAACCAACATTAATTGAATTCTTTCCTTTGCAGGATACTTGTTAAACATAAATCATCTTTTTTTTTTTCTTTTTTTTTTTTTTTAAGTTACCGTTTCTAATTTCAAATATCTCAATACCTATTGACTATCCTATATTTGAGGGTACCACCTTATGTGGTGAGTTTTAATATATCATTTAGTTAGCAACGGAAAATGATGAAAAGAAAATTAAATAAAAAAATCTAAATAGTATATAAAAAATACGGGCAATTCTATGGTAGGGGCGCTTTTTCTCCTAACAATATTATGAAATAATAAAGACCGTTGGATCAAAAATTTATAGTCCAAAATTCTTCGTTCCATAGAAATGAGAATAATGACTACCACACCTAATCAAATCTTTTATTCACACTACTCAAAAAAAAAAAAAAACCTTCCTTCCCCAACTCAAATTTTGCAGACGCAATCCCTCATTTGCAAACCCATCTTTGATACCCCAACTTCATTTGCAGACCCACCAGCCACCACCTTGCGGCGTCGCAAGCCACGGCGTGCTGCACCCCGCACACCCAACTTCTCCCCTCTCTCCGACAGAAAGCCCTCTCTTCCAACGGCGCCTGCAAGATGGCGACGGCGCCGGCATAATGGACTCCGTCACGGGCTTCGTCAAGAGACCCACTGATTAATGGAGGAAGAGCATGTGATTTATGTGGGTTGGTTTGATTTTCCGTTGATTGTGGTTCTGGGTTTCCACTTCTTCATCATCTTGTTGCTTGTTCATCGAAGAGACTAAATTCGCTGAAGATCTCGGATTTCATGCGTTTATGAATGCTCAGACTTCTTCAAAAACAGGTTTCTCTCTAGTCTTTGGGTTTATTTTTTATTTATTTTTATTTTTTTTGAAAAGGGAAATCTAGTTTATACATTATGGTTATTGCTAATATGATTATTGTTATCGCTACTATTTTCTGAATTTTGTGTAAGTTATTATTATGTCTACAATTTGGAGAGTTCATATTTGTCACGAGAATATAGAAGAGGTCTTTGGGGAAGAAGAAAATGAAGGAATTTTCGAGGAAACAATAGATTCGGAAACTGGAGCAAACAAAACCATAATCTCATTCACTTTTTTCTCTCTTGATTCCAAAATCACCCAGTTTAGGGACTTGGATTTGCTTGTTTCGAAATCAACCAGTTTAGGAATTTTGATAATTTGAAGGTCGTTGGAATTGTTGATTGCAAGGAAAATATAAAGGGTGCGTTTGAAACTCGTATTAAAATGATTTTATTTTTTGTATGAAAATAAAAATAAAAACATTTTCAATCTCAGACATAAATTATTTTTAAAAATGCGTTAATAGTTTTATTAAGAGATTGTTTTCAGTATAAAAAATCCATTAATGTCTCTCTTTCTCTCTCTCTGCTCGAGAGATGAGAAAACGAAAACAAAAAATGAAAAACGACTAAAAGTTATTTTTCAATCTTTCTCATTTTACACTAAACTAAAAAATCGTTTTCATTTCCTTTTTTGTTTTTATTGCGCAAAACGTCGTTTTAAAAACGTTTTCATTTTCTCTTTCTCGAAAAACGTGAAAAATAAAAACGGGATAAATTCCAAACATGGCCAAAGACTTTGAAGGTTTCTGAGTTGTCTTAATTTAGGCTACAATCTGGTGTGAATGAGACTACATAAACCTTCACTAAAATTTAGTATGGATCGTTGGATTGCACCCTGCCGGTAGGGGGAAAAAAGCTCCCCTACCATAGATATGCCCAAAAAAATATAATAGAAACAGGCCTAAATTGTAGGCTAAAACTTTGGGGCCTTAAGCAGCCGCTTAACCTGTCTTTATTTCATAGTTTATTGACATATTTAGAACCCATTGGACTTCAGTTTAGACTGTTCACTCTGTCATTAACTTTTCTGAGTGAAATTAGTATCTTGTTTATTTGAGGATATTAAAAACACACCGCTTTAGCAGTTTGTCGTACTTAAATTTCACAGGTAAGATAGAGATCATGTTTTTCCTGCTGTGACAATAAACTCTAGAGTCTGTCCCAATTTATTTTCTTATAAAAAGAGATTGTCAATCTCCTAGTGTTCTGTTAAGGCACTTATTATATTTTGAATTCTTAGTTTCAACGATAGATAAAATCAATTTTGGGAAAAGTTATAGTGCTTACTACATCTAGCTAAGAATAATATGATTTATGCTATCGTTTTTATGGCTTTCTTTTTCTTTTAATTTCTTTGTTTTGAAGGATCTGTTAATCCAATTTTCTTTGTACTTTGGAATTTTCTTTGATTAATGTTTTAAGCTTCTAGCTATTTATGAGAACTATACCATATGAAGAAGGTAATTAGAGGCGACTGAGGTGATAATGCCACTTTCTTAGAAGATGCTGCAGCTCGTAAAAATTGCTTTGTCTGATGCTTCCTATGGTCATAGGTCTTAGACTCTTAGATTTGCTTTCCTACGTAACTCTTGCACATAGCCAGGTCCTTAATGCCCAAATATTCGTTAGTGCGATCTCTGATTCTCTTCCATGAGTTTACCTTTTTTTAACCACTAGAAGACAAGGCTTCTTTCAAAGGCTTATTTGCATTTACCCCATATCTTAACTTTGACTATGAATTTTAGCCACAATTGCAATATTTACTCTTTTTATTTTTTATTTTTTATTTTTTTTAACATTTCTTAGTCATTAATTCTTGTTGGATGAAGACATTAGGCATGATTATATGTGCACATTTATCGCTTCATGATAAAAAAAAGTTCACATTTCTAGCAATTATGTCTTTCTCCTGAAATCTTAGGCTCGATTATATAGTAGCTTTGATTCTTCAATCTTCTGATACTCTCTCTTGGTAATTTTATTTTTGTTTATCAAATGGAAGAAAGGACCTCATGTAGGGTTGGTTTAGGCATGTACTTGAGAAAAAAAGATGGCTGTATGTTACTGCATGCTGTTCAAATAATCCTTTAGATTTCATGCTCGTTCCTCTAATGACTTTACATCTGCTTTGATGATTCATATTTCATAGATATATGCATTCAAGAGACTTGCACTGCATAATGTTGTATGAAATTGTAGATAAATTGATCAGCTTTCTGTGCCCCTGTAGTATTTATTTGTTTACCGTAACTTACCTCTATATTTATTATCTATTGCTATTTCTGAAGGAAGAAGTATGTGTTTTCGTTGGATGTTTGACCATGTGAATCATCTTTGTGATTTTAATGATTCAGTTCGGCAATGGTCCTATTTTTTAAGTAGATGGATACGCAGCTTGGTCTCTAGACGTTCCAAAGATCTAGTGAGTCATATCACCGTCTCTGTAGTTTAACATTACATATTACTCTGCTGGTAATGTTTCTTCATCATGAGATTTTGACTGCAGCTCATGCTTTCAGGTTGGCTCACCTTCAAAGAATTCTCATTTTAATTGGTTGAAGGTTGGGTAGTCAACTTATACTAATCATGGTCATAGGTGATACAATAGAAATTAGTTCATCTGATAGTGAATTCGAAATAGAAGATGGTAGAGATACAACACATTCTGAGAATTTGAGAAAGCTTCCCAATTCACTAGCTGGATCAAGCTCTAGCTCAAGTTTTAGAGGTCAGATTTACGTTATTTATTGAAGGTTTCACCCATTTTAAGCTTAAACTTCTCCATATTAATTGTGAAGTAATTTCTTTAACTTACAGGTTATGCTGGGCAGTCTAGAAATGTTTCTTCTCCTAATCTTGGAATATACGCTTCTAATGGGAGTTCTATTAATGGTCATACGCTGTCCAAAGCTCGAACTCAACTTCATTTCAGTGATGATGTAGGACCCTCAAATCAAGACTTTGCACGGCCGCGTGATGGAAAGTATCAAGCAAATGGAAACACCAATCCTTCTCGGACCACTAATTCACGAATATCGAATAATCACTACCATGATTATGAGAAAATTTCATCACAACAGGCTCTAAAGAGGACCCTTCCACCATCTCTTCTGCCATCTACATCAAATGCCGAGTTAAGTCGCAACAGAAATCAGATTCTGGATGGGTTGAGTTCAGACATCAGCAAGAGCTATCCAAGAAGCTATTCCAGCTTGGGCAATGATAATGAAGCTCGTATTTATGGAAACAGTGGGAATAGGATCTTGCCTCCCTCTTTGACGCATGTAAAATCTACTGGTGCTGTACAGTTTGGTACTGCAAGTGATTCTGCACACCGTTCTGGGATTGGTGAAGAAAAGGTGGCTGAAGCTGATGAGAGGCTGATATACCAAGCAGCATTAGAGGTATTCTCTTCATCAATAGTAGGCATTGCAATTTATTGGATGGTTAAAATGCAACATGATTCTTGTCTTGCCATGGTCAATACTAACTTTAACCAATCATAGTGGCTCTTCTCTGCAAATGTATGCTCTCTCCTTTTTGTTTTCTTTCTTAAAATATGATCAGCTTGTATATGGACGTGTTGTTCTTGGAGATGGATGCTGGAACCTTACTTGTTTAGAATTACTACAGTTCAAAGTACTTAAGTTTTGATACAAACTATATAAGATGCTTATGATGTTTGATAGTATGTCTACATGCCTATTTCTTGCCTTGTGGATTTTCAATTTGATGATACTGATATGGGGTGGTATAGAAACTGTATTTATCACCAAAAGCCAGAAAGAATTTCATCCTTAGAGCAGAGTTGGATCAAACACACTTAAAGATCAATAAAAACTAGAATAAGGACACCAAGAAAAAACCACCAAATTCCATGGTTCTGTCAAGAAGTGGCCAAGTCGGGGGATACTGTTCATCCTATCTTTACTATGAGCAGAGTGAAGTTACACTGGCTTTCTCACTGTAGAATATATATGGGAGAGAATTCTTTCACTATGTTCTCGGAATTGCAGAAAATGAATGGTTGGTTTTAGGTTAGAATCCTAGGCTGTGAAAATATGCACCAGGTCAGCTTTGTTGGTCCTAAAGAACCTGACCCTTGACAAAGGTTATGGACTGGAAGCTTAGAGCAAAAGAATAAAATTGTGTGTGATTTTCATAATAGGTATCAGAGAGGAAGGGAGAAAAAAAGGGTGGCAGAAAGCTGTTGTAAAACATTTAAAAAAAGAAAAATTGTAGTTTGAGGCTCCTGCTCCCATTTGGTTAAATTTAGGAAGACAGAAAAGCAGCATTAGGAAGTTTTGCTAGTTTGGTTATTTTTTGGTTGATTGTGTGGAGAGCAATGTCCTGTTTTTGAAGATAAGGTGAAGGATTTGGTTTCTTTAAGGGAAAGA